TGCTGAATCCCCGCTAATCCCCTGCATTCCAGATATCAGAGCAGTCAGCTGGCCTGGGGATCTGCTTCCAGCTGGTCAATAGCAACAGGAAAATCTTTAAACCTCCTTTTGATCCAGACATAAGTCGTGCAGGATCTGCCTCTCACAGGCCAGCCCTCGGTCCTCCCAGGGCGAGCTGCTGCAAACAGGAGATGTCGTCGGCAGCGGGACCGCCCGGGCAGGAGCCACTCCAGGGGTGCCCATCACTTATTAATGAGCTGTTGTTATTCATTGCTGAAAGGCTGCCAGGGTGTATTGAGATGATCATGTCAGTCCAGAGCAGCTTTAGCCTGTGAGTGAGGTGGGGAGTGTAAGCCACACTGAGCTCCACAGGGTGAAGAATCCGGGAGAGTCACATCTAATCTTCGGGCACGATCAGATGCACTGACAAAAGAAATGTCACTTTGCCCAACTCTCTCCCCAGACATCCTGTGTCTGCACAGCCCACCACATCCCATCTCCAGGCTGGAAGCTTTTGCAGCACATTAAATCTCTCACAAGGAAAAAGTGGGAAATAGCTTTGTATACCACATCTCCTCCTCTTCTGCTGAATGGGCAGGGCTTGCAGAATTCCCTTCTTGTGTTAGGCTGCACCTCTTCTCTGGAGATTTACCCCTTGTTCCAGACACATTTAGGTGAGGAGGAGGAGCTCTGAGACACGGGGGGTGAGGACTGTTCAGCCTCTGCCCAGCTGTGTGTCCCAGGCAGTGCAGTTGTGCTTGTGTGGGCACCACTTTCCTGAGCTGGTTCTGATAATATCTCCCAAGCCATTGCACTGCTGAGCTACTCAGAGCTGAGGACTGCTGAAGATATTTTAAAAAAACCCAAACACTTATTTTTAACAGGAAAGCACCATTTTAAGAACATCAACAACAACAGACTGTACTTACATGAATCTACCATAGACTATAATGATCTAGACTCCTCTTTTTGCTGCTACTTTGAAAGCCTGCTGTGATTACAATGGGATATTGCACAAGATTGGCATGGTTTATGGTTTATGTACATATGTAAAAAACATTATGCCCTATTGCAGTCCAGAAGTGCATCCCAGATATGTTCTTGTAATGTCCAAAGTAAAAAAAAAAGTGAAGATACCCAAAGGGAGTAAAGAAATCCCAGAGGCCTGTGGGCATGTGAACACAGGGGAATTCACATGCATATAGCAACTCACATCAGCACTGATAGGGTTAAAGCACATCAAACTTTTGCACACTCAGAGGAGAACACCATGAACCAATTATTTCCTGACTTATAGCCAGTATTGATGGAGATGACATAAGGTGCAGATCGGGGAAGAATCCAAACCTCTGGCTACTACTCTATTTAATCCTTTCAAATCTGCTGTGTCACCACAATCAATAGCCTGATCTCATGCCACCAGTGTCCAGAGGATGGGGATGGAAAAGGAGGGCCTGTTTTGTCATTTGGTAACACTGCCCCAAAGCAGGAGGCTCTGAGCAACCAGACCTTACCATGAACTGGGTAAAACTGACTGTTCACCCCTCCTCTGAGCCCCCAGGCAAAGTGTGCCTGAACCAACAGCAGACGTGGGGGACGACTGGTATTTAGGAGGTAGAAACAGGAATATTTGAAAGAATAAATGTATTTTCTTCTGCTTTCACCTGTTTCATAGTCTTGGTAATATGAAGCCTGAGCATGACCCAGTGCCACACAGGCCCATGTTCTTTGGTGTTGAAAAGCAGAGTAGATGAATAAACTGCAGAGCTCACTGCTGCAGCTGAGCTGATCTGGATACACGACCCAGCCTCATGCATTGGAAAAGTCTTGATTTACCCTATAAATATTCCCAGTGAAATATATAAGAGTTCAGGGATGTTTTCCCCTCCAGCCAGAGGAGCCTTTCTGTTCTTCAGAGCCTGTCTTCTAGGTGTTTAAAGGTAAAAGATGCTGCAGTGCCACTTGTGACTGGCCATTAAGAAGCTACACCCCAGCATAAACCAAACACTGCCCTTTGCAAAGCTCTTTTCAGCTCTTCCAAAGGCAAAAACTGAGCAGCTTTGGTGGTGTAACCCCATTAAAAGAGCTTATTTGATCAATCTGGTTTCACACTTATGGCCTCACTACCCCAACCCTCTGCTCTCTCCTGACAGCAGTTCTGCCACCCTGCTGGTCTACAGCAGCTTCTCTACAGGGAGAGGACCCAGCCTCTTTGGGAAGGCTGCCAGGGGTGCACAGATCAGCAAGAGGCAGGGCCTCTAGTTTGCCTTAAATCCCAGGGCTGTGCCAACACCCAGCTCTGACAGAGCCACTGTGGGAACCTAGCAAGTCTCATCCCTACTCAGTGCCTCAGTTTCTGCTGCTGGATATTATAAACTGTGGTGAGTAAAACTTTGTTTTCCCTGTAGAGCACACAGGCAAAGTCCTGTGCAGCAACAAAATCCTTTTCTTTGCAAATGGGAAAGACTGAAGATACCACCAGTATCTCTGACTTCATATTGCATTCCACTGCTCAGAGCCTCTGCTCTTGCTCTGGACAGCTGCAGAAAACACATCCATTTACAGCAGCAGAGAGAAGCAAAGCACATAGGGAATACACACAGGGGAAGGAAATGCAAAATCAGATTACACCCATCAGGAGCAAGCTGAGGAATCAGCCACAGACAGGCTGTCAAAATGTCCTGACGTAACTGGAGAGATTTTTTGGTTGGTCCTGGCATCTATTTATATATTTGGGCTTATACACATCATAAACCTGAGCATCTGAGGCACTACTGTATTTCCATGATCATAAATAACCCCACCCTTGTTTTATATACAATCTTTCTGTTCTGGAAGGAAGCATATCATTGGTTGGGGCTACCTGTGACTAAAAGCATTATAAATCTATAAGCAATCACAAACTCCCTGCTACCAGTGGAAAGTGAACAGAGCTTTAAGCAGACTCTAGCTCTGCCATAATGGACAAGTAACTTATAAAAATATTTATACAGGCTGGCTAGCAGCTGGAGAGATAAACAGAACAATGGATGCACTCCTGGCATGTGATGTAGCAAAGAAAGCAGTGAGAAACCAGGTCATGGGGGAAGGAATAAGCCAAGTCATCAGCCCAATTCCAAACATACAGCAATTGCCAAGGAAAAGCATCATTACATACATAATCCTCTTTCTGTCCTGGTCTCAGTCTTGTCCCACCATCACTGGGAACTCTCCTTGTCGTGGACAACCAGGGGACCCTTCTGCTAACAGGAAACCTTACATCACACACCCACGACATAAATAAACCTCCCCAATAATTAGAAGCAGAGCCAGCCTTTATATTATTAAATCTAGAGGCAGGGCACCTGGTGGGATCTCCTAATTGGTTTTCACCCTAGATTGGCCAGGCCTTGAGAGAAAACCAAGAGGAAGGTCTCTCTGGCCTGATTGTGGGCATCATCCATAGGTCATCCCTGATTCAGGGCTGGAGGTTTAGACCCCAGCCCTTCACCCTCTCTGTCAGAGTTTCCCTCCACTTCCCTGCATCAGCAGGGTTACAATGTTTTGAACACTTCTGAGCCAACCCCTGAAAAAACACAGAGAGACTGTGTGTCAGAAAGCCAACCTGTACTAAAGAACTGCACTTAAAGTGCATAAATCAGCAGTTAAGGAGTTACTAAGTACAAGCATCCAACTCCTGTTATTATAGTATCATCTACTCTTCCAATCCTTAGAAAGAACACTACACTGAATTAATATGCAAGAAACAAGTTTTTAACATTTGGCAAGGCAAAATAACTTTTAAAGTCCTTTTTATGTTAGCTTTTAAGCTTCAGAAATTTGACCTAAAATCAATGAAATATCCCACTTGAACAGCAGCTGGAGGCAGAGCAGAGAGAGAATCTCAGAGTCACAACAAACACTGCACTGGTTTTGTTCCAGTGGCCTTCTGGCATCATAGAGGCTGATGACCTTAAGCTCCCTGTTAGTTAGGGCTAGGTGATGAAAAAATGTTGCTTGAGAGAATCTCCCTCAGTTTTAAGACGAGGTGTAAGCTATAGAAAACATACTCCAGGTGGACGATTGAGGAGAGGTATTTCTCTCTCTCTCAGCTGTTTTACACTCTGATCTGGGTGCTGAGCCATTCCCTTCCGTGTGCTGGCCCCCTGTACAGTGCCTGTCACCTCACCCAGCAGGGACTGAGCTGCCCCTTTGGCCAACCCCACAAATCAAGCGTGGGGCCAGCACAAAGCTCTGCTGCCCCTCGTGCCTCCTGCACAGTGACGGGCACAGACCTCACCACGCTGGACCCTGGGCAAACAGCACAGAAACTCTTCCCCAAAAAGAGGCTACAGCTGAAATCCAAGCCCTAAGGGAAAAGGCTGGAAAGGCTGGGTTGGTTCTCAGTGCCCTCTCACGGGCAGGCAGCAGGCAGAGCTGGCCACCTGGAACTCTTCCAGGGATGAAAAGTGGCCGGAATTTTGCTCTCTGGCTTTAAAAAGCTGGGCTGGTTTGTCTGGAAGGCAGACTTTGGTCGCAGGGGTTTTCCTGCCTGCTGCTCTTCCTGCTTGCTCCCGGAGCTGCCTCCTGTGCTCGCAGGCAGGAGCATGGCCGGTGCCTTCCCTGTGCTGGCAGCTGTCTCCCTGCTCTCTGCCTTCCAGCAGTGTAAGACCTGGGGGGTTCTGTGGCTGGGGGCTGGGGAGGTTTCCACTGCTTCTGAAGCACGGGGAGTTGTTTTATGCTAAACTGTCTGTTCTGTCAGTTGGATTTCTGGGAACTCTTCAGGTGTTTCTGGCCGCAGCACTGTTTACCCTCTCTGCAGTGGGGAGGGAGCTGGCTCTGTGGGATGGATTACTCTTCCATGGAGGAGAAACTAATTTGTTTTCAATCCTATTTTGTTCACCGACGTTTCCAAATTGTACTGTTGTAACTAGCTGTAAAGTTACCCCAGAGCCACGTTGTGCCTCAGTTTCGATTCTTAGTTATGCTTTGGAACAACTGAAAGCCTCAAAAGTCAGAGCAAATTTTTTAAATTCAAATACACCAGTGCTGGACTGAAAGCACCCTAAAAACTATTTCCTGAAACAGAGATATTAAAGAAGAAAGGAAACCTGAAATTAAAGGAGGAAGCAAGCCTTTACACAAGGCAGCAACAATGTGAGATGTTCCACATTACGTCCTCCTCGTTACATTTCTTCAAAATCTAAATGGATTTCTCTTATCCCCTGCTGAGAATCAAGGAGCAGGGAAAGGAGTGGGCAAGTCTGAGATGCATTTTCACTCTTTATGGGTCTAAAACTGCAGCAGCGATTTTAGTGCTTGTCGTTATTGTCTTTGAAGTATGTTGATTCATACAGTTGTGTTTACACCAGGAAGCAAGATACATTTTGAAGGCATTTGTGCTGAGAGCAAGTTAAAAATAATTACTCTGCCTTTTTTTCCAAGTATCTGTATCACTGCCAACTTATCTAGCAACCTATCTACATGGCTTGACTGTTTGTTTATTTGTTCTCAAAGCCTCAGCTACTGAAATAACATTTGTTCCCAGCAGGAATAAAAGCTTTGGAATGTGACCCTCCCAGGTTAGAAAAAGCCCAACACAACAGGAGGCAAATAAAAAGCACCTAAAATTTACATTCTCTTTTTCTGTTGTCAGATCAGCTACAACCCAACCCTTGTGATTTTCACAGGGCTTTTCTGTCTGGTGGCAATATTTACCATCAACTTCTGTGAAGGCTCCACTTGCCTGCCTTGATTTTTAATGTCAAAGTGTGAAGGATTAAAACCAAACATTATCCAAAGAAGTACTGAAGTATAAGAACTCAGGGAATTGTACAGATGCTGAAACTGCAAAGGGATGGAGAGGTGTATATATAAGTGTGTATATATATACACCTATACACTTCCTTCTGATTGTTAATCCTTGTTAGTCAATCTTCATTAAAATCACAGAAAAGACGGGATAACTTGGGTTTTAATTTACAGTGGCAGTCTGACATCAAGCCCAAAGAGAAACCTGTGTAAGAATCTGATCTGCTGATCTGATTGAAATCATCACAGCCTGGCTTACCTTCATTAGGGGTAAACCCAATCAGATTAATTAATGGCAGTTAGGAAGGTGCTGAGGGGCAGTACAGCCCCCCTGAAGCAGTGCTGGAAGCCAGGTTTCACTTAGCAATCATCAGAGGGAAGACATTTAGTGCCTCAGAACCATGAAGTGTTCAAAGAACCAGGTCAGTCAAAGATTAAGCTGTGCAAGAAATGCTCCAGGGTAGGAAGAAAGAGCAGAAACAATGCAAGAAGTGGTTTCCAGTCATGAATCCAGTCCCAGGCAGCTGAGATTTGCTTGAGAGTTGAGTGTTTTGTAGGCTGATGGAAAAACAAGGGAATCCAGTGAGAGGACAGAATGGTTAACCAGAGTCTCCCATCTGCAAACCTCTGCCCCTCAAACCAGAGCCTTGCTGACTAGGCAACACCAAGGCCAAACCACAGTACAGCTGAGGCCAGGGTTCTACCATGGCCTTGGTGATTTGCTTTGGTTAATTGTACTGAACAAACAAGAAGGATTTGGCCCTTACAGTGCCTTAATCTTCTTATTTCCCCCAGTAAGTTTATTTTGCCCAGCATCCTTTCAAGGCTTTTGTTTTTCAGCTGACTTGGGTTCCATGAGCTGCCTTGACTTGCTGTAGCTCCTCAGCAGAAAAAAACAAAACCAGGTCCTAAACTGGTTGTAAGAGTTGAGTGTCTCAGTGTAGCCAGAAAGTGAGGGATGGTTGCTGGCTAAAAATGCCTTGCCACCAAAACAGCTCACCTACCACTTAGGCTGGTAAACTAGGCAGGATTTCCCAGCATGAAGCATTTGTCATACAAATGAGATCATTTTCAGGGTGCCAGAAGTTAAAAAGCAACTTTTCAGTTCAGTTTTCCAGGAAAATATTTCTCAGAGGTAATTCCTGAGCTCCCATGAGTTTTGGTCTCCCTGGAGCACATTCCCTAGACCCTCCCTGGTACCATCCTTCCTTTCTGAAAGGGCTGCAAGGTGGCAAATAACAGATGAATCACCAGGAATAACAAGAGATGGGTGGGTGGGAGTAGAGGAGGTCTTGCTGGATGGAAATACAGTGACAGGTCCTGTAAACCTGCCTTACAGAGAGATAGCTGAGGTGCTGACTAGTCTCTGGAGACAAAGGTTAAGAGGTCACTTGAACACAGCCCATAATTACTTATATGGGGAGAAGACAGATGGGGAAATGGTTTTTTTTGAGGGAAAAGGCTTTGGCCACAAGGCTAGGACATAAGAGGTGCGTGGGGCAGCACCAGTAATATCTCTAGCTGTGGTTTAATGCCACAGCTCCCAGGAGGGAGGACAGAAGATATGCTCTAGGCTTGCCCTTAGACAAGTCTTTCTGGTGAATTCAGGTGGGTGCCTGGTTTCTGGATCCAGGTAAAGTCAGGTACACAGCAGATGGCAAGCTCCTCATACAGGGCGGCTATGACATGGCCAGAAAAATAACTCCAGGTACCCAGAGAGTTTTAAAGTTACACGAGATGGTGCCAAGCAGCTCTGCTGCATAAAGAAAATTGCTGCCTTTCGTCCTTGTGAGCCTCTATCTAACATTCAAGGGGAAGACTTCTGCTGTGAGGACATCAGTAAAATGAGGTACACGTATACACACCAGAAGTGATCCCAGAAATACAGATGAGAAGTGCAGAGATAGTGTTTGACTGGTTTGGGTTTTTCAGGCAGTAACTGGTATTTAGTCAGTGTATAGAAAGCAACCTGTCTTGCTCATGGCACTCCATCACTTCTAAAAAGAAAAAAAGCTTTTTACAAGAGAGCTAAGTACTGTTGGCTCCAACCAGTGGAGATGGGAGCAGCACAGGTCCTCCAGTGGAGAGCTCTCAGAGCTCCCCAGGAGATGATGTGAAGAGCAGGGAACAGGCTCCCACCTCCTCAAACAAGCTGGGAAGTGATGTCCATCAGTGCAGTTTGGTTCCTGCAGCGTGACTGGGAGCCTGGGTCTAGGATTCAGATGAGGCAGAAGGACATTTAAGTCACAGCTAGTGTAGCAAAGGCAAAAAGAGAATGAATGTGTTTCTAAAAGAGCAATTTCCCCCTTCCTCATGAGCGTCACTCTCCAACCTAAGATCTAAACTTTGGTAGGGAAAAAGTAGTTTATCTAAAGATGGTCTCTTTCTGTCAAACAGAACAGAAAGAACTGAAGAACAATGATCTCTATTAAAAAAATTACTGGCACATTAGAGACACAACCAAACCAAGAAACTGTGTAATTCATGAGCCCTTATTTTTGCTCACAGGCCACTTTGCTCGGCTGGTGGGGAGATCAAGAATGAAGCACAAGGTCATGCCCCCAGCTGTCACTGGAGCTCCAGAGTTTGACAGAACATTTCGTGCACAGTAAGTCTGGAGATCATTAAGATGGTGGCAATGAATAACAATTCAGTCCAGACAAGTAGCAAAACCAAAAATTTCTAACAGATTGCTTTTCAAATGGTTCAGCTGTTATTTTAATGCTATTGGGCTAAATTCAGCTCATTTAAAAGAGTCACTGCTCAAATTCGGCTCAAGCTAGGCAATCAGATTACTCAAACCTAAGCAGGGGCTGAGAGCTAATTGATTGTAACTTGGAGAATTCAGATGTTCTGGATCTAGCAAGTGTTGCTGTCAGTTCTTGGACTGTGGTTTAACACCAGATGTGGGAGACAAGAGCACAGGACCTGTCTCCCCAGTGGATAATGGTGGAATAGCCTAAGATGAGAATTTTTCTAAAGGGCTTCAGATTGTGGTTGGCTAATGGCCCCAATTCAAACCACCCCATCTCCTATAACTGTAGCTGTAGTGGGTAACAGCAATGGGGCATAGAAAATATTTTAGTTTATATGTGAGATTAGAAAGAAGTGAATTTTTAAGAGTGCCTAGAGCTGGCTTGACTGTGCTGCCACTGGATTCAACAGTGCTAACTTTAGTGGCAACAAAATGGGGCCAAAGCTGATTTTCCTTGAAAATCCCATCCACGGTTCTTTTCCTTTCCAGACTAATGTTCTTTCAAATTTATTCTGCAGACAAAACTGTGTGGAGTTTTACCCCATATTCCTGACTGGCCTCTGGACCGCGGGATGGTTTTTTAATCAAGGTAAACATTTGTGGGCTTTATTTTTCTTGGACTGAGAAGTTTTACACAACTTCTAAAAACATTTTTGTTTTATTGGGAGGTAAATGACTGTAGACAGCTTTTCCCTTTCCTTTAATTGCATGACCTTAGCACAGCCTCCCTAGAAGAATGCTCAGTGGCACTGACATCCCCACTCAGCTCTGGCATTCCACATAGCCCCACCAGCCTTCACTCCTCCCTGCAAACCAAGGAGCCAGCACGTGGCACACTTATCAGACATCCAGTGGGTTTTCAGGGTGAACTGTTGAGAAAAGCAGCCCCCAGATGCTTCTCAACAGTGGACTGTTGTAGAGCTAGAACTTGTGGCAGAGCCCAACTTCTGCCCTCCACATTAACAACCCCTGCCCAGCTGATGTTTTAGAATCATGCAGCCTGTGAGCTGGAGACAGGGTAACTAGCTCTACACCTCTCCTTCCTGAACACCCAGCTTTCTTCTCCAAGTTCTATGTTTGCTGCAAAGCAGTCATTTTGGTTTGGGGCTCTCTCATAGCCAGAGTCCCAACTCCAGTGCAAATCCAAAGTGGCTCCACTTAAGCCAATAAACTGGTTATTAAATACTAGGTGTGCTCACAGACAGACACTTGAATCAAGGAAGATCACTGTTACTAACCAGCCACGCAGACGTGTGCTGTCACCTGGAAGTAAAGAAGGATTCTGTTAACCCTCCCAGCTCCCCTCTAAGTCATTTTTTCACAGATTAATCCAGGACACAGCAAAAGCTGCCCTGTGAAACACTCTCTTGCAGGGTCTGAAAGAAGACAAAATTAACTAGCACAGCTTAGTCCTGGGTAATACAACTGACCTACACCCCCTGCTCCATCTATCAAATGGAGGTGACTTTATACCCTTCCCAGAGGGAGGTCAGAAAGCTGACTTCACTACAGCTTCCTCTCCTGTCCTTGGATAAAAGCTGCTATATAAATGCAAAGCAGGTTATTAACAACATAAATAAGATTCTCTTTCCCAAACAAACACTCCCCTTTAGCATGAACTGTCACAACAATGTGAAATGACAGTGCTGGGTCAAGCCAGGGTGCTCCAACCTGCTGTCCTGTCTCTGGGATAACCACCAAACTGGGGGGGAGAGAACAGGTTCCTGTCATTTCTCAGAGCTCCTTTTCAGGGAATGCTTTTAGATTTTATTTTTTTGGACAGTCCTATGCCCACACCTATTTGTCAAACCATATCAAGAGCCTCCTGAAGTGGATGTTCAAGAATATATATATATATCTCTCTCTTCTGAATGATTCTTTCCCAAGATACGTTCCCAGGTTATGGGTAGCTATGAAAACCCCCAGAACTCTGTAACTAGAAAACATAACTAAAGTTGTAAATGCTCTATGATCCTGATGTTTTAATTTTCTCACCATTTTTCCCCCCTCCTATTAATCCCATCTTAGAACTAGCTTCCTTCCTGGGTGTGTTGTACATGTTTGCCCGCTACAAGTACTTCCACGGCTACATCCAGTCTGTGACAGGAAGGTAAGGAGCCACCAGCTGAATGCAGGTTAAAAACTCCAGGCTGTGGTCTGAAGCTGGGCTGAGAGCCAAGGCCTGGCAGTAAAAAGTGACTACAACACGCCTGGAGTGTCAGTGAGAGGTGTGAAGCAGAACCCCCCAGGGAAGAGGGCTGGTTTGGTGCTCACCCTGTGGGTGCCTGCTCTGTACTGAGCATGCTGGCAGCCAGGCTTGGAGAGGTCTGAAAGCAGAAGCAGTTGTGCAGCTCGGGTTGCCATGGGGTGGGAGGCTGCTCAGGCAAGGCTCCTGCTGCTATTTCCAGTTTTCCTCAGTTTGTCACATTAAGACCTTTACTCTAGCTGTAAAAAATGCACTGAAGGAAGCAGCAAATCTGGCCTTGTAGGGTGGTGAACTTTCACCAAACAGATAAGAGCACACAGCTTCAGATATGGGCACGTTAATGACTGTTAAGGGCACAGTGTCTCCTAACATGAATTCTGCTTCAACAAACATGCTCCTCCACTAAAAACACACAGCTTATTTCTTGTTTTGCTGAAGCCACTGCAATATCTCCTGTCTCCTGACCTAAGGCTCCCCTTCCAGTCCACATATCAGTCATAAAAAAAACCCAACCACCCAACAAAACAATACATGCTTGTTATAAAATTAAAATACTTGTTTATTTCTAGAGGAAGACACCAAACAGAGTATTTTGTAGTGAATAATCCTGCAGCAGCAGCAGCAGACTGTGCTACAGGGCTGTTTTCCATAGCTTGTGTACTGACATCACCACTCTCCTTCACTACAGTCTCCACCAATCCTTTACCCTCTTTGGAAGAGCTGTTGCTTAAGAGAAGGGAGAGGCCATGTTTTCCAGAGCAAATATATACAGATAATATTTTATCTGCCAGTAAGAGATGCAATAATTCAAATGATGCAATAAAATACCAGCCAGCAAATTAGCAGCTATTAAGGAAGTCTGAGGAGCAAAACAGTATAAATAAATGAAGAAGCAGAACATAATGGACTTTTCTTTAATCAACAAACTAAAAAGTCCTTTGTTCCAGAAATCTTTCCTGTGCTTTACTTCAGTACTCTTAGACCAGCCTCTCATGGAATCCTGGGAACAGTGGCTGGCTTTCCTACTAGAGCTTTGAACTCTGGTGAGACTCTCAGTTCAGTTCAGATTTGCCAAGGTTGGATTTTTTTAAGAGCACAAGAGGAACATGCACCTTCTGCTCCGTGTCTGTGATGGAGAGGACTCTGCAGATGAGCTGCATCTTTTACCCTTCCCTCTAAGCTGGCTCTTACGGATACTTAAAAGACTAAGCTAAAGACTTTTTTCAGGCTCCTCTGAAACTGAGAAAAACTCACACTCTAGAACAACTGAGAACAGTCTGTGATGGAGAGGGCTCTGCACGTGAGCTGCATCTTTTACCCTTCCCTCTAAGCTGGCTCTTACAGATACTTAAAAGACTAAGCTAAAGATTTTTTCATGCTCTCCTGAAACTGAGAAAAACTCACACCTCAAACCTGTGTCTAGAACAATTGAGAACAGCCCCAGGAGAGTGTGAGTGGAAGCCCCTTGGTCCCACACACTCAAAAAGCAAGTTCTGTGTTCCACAGACTCTCCCAGACTCTCCTGCAGGAGTCTGCCTTTCTGTTTTGCACAAATAAACCAAACTGCTCCCTCTCCCAGCAAGTGCCCTAACTGGTGACATTTCAGGATCAACACTTCCTTTCTGGTCCAAAAACCCATCTCCAAGTCAAAGTGCTCGCCAGCAGCAGCCCTCCCATCAGCAGAGGTGGGTGTAAGAAACACCCCCCCCTTCACCCTCAGCTCCAGAGACCTCTCCCACACTCCTAGCAGTGCAGGGAGGTGCTCAAGCCTGTGTGTGCCTTTACCTACACATCATGGGATGAGGGGGCAAGTTCCTGGAGCAAGTTCCTTACCTCCACATGAATATTTCAAAGCACAGAGGGAGAGTTTTCCCACAGAGAGGATATCAGGAATCTCTTTTCTCCCTAGCAAAAGTCACGTGTGGGGGTGGTTTAATACCAAACCACCCACGGGTCCTAATAGTATTTTTTTTTTCTGCTTTCCACTTCTAGGTTAACAGGTTTTTACTTGAGTTTGATATTTCTAACGTGCCTGATGATCCTGGGTGCAGCTGGGATTGTTAACAGCTTTCTGGATGAATACTTGGACTTCAGCATTGCGAAGAAACTACGTAAATTGTTCTGAAGATTGGGTTGGCTTTTTTTTAAATAATGTGGATAGCTTCCTTGAATACTGAAAGGATGATAAGCTGGATGTGAATAAATACCAGGGCCCTTTACTAACAGCCTGTTGCCATGTAAAACACGTGGGTTTCCTGAGCTGTTTGTGCCTTCTCCTTTACCTACACTCCTGAAAAAGAGTCAGTGAGGCAGAATGTTGTGTCACATCTGCAACTGCAATTAAACATTCTGTCATCCTGCACAGTCCTGTAAACCCTCAACCAATCAGGTAAAGCCAAACCCATGAATTCAGTGAGGAATTCAGTTGCAGCTGGCACGGCAAGCATCAGCCCGTCTTACCCAGCACCTCTGCAGTCTCCCCTCACTCCTCTTCATCTCCCCCAGCAGTGCTGCCCCTTCTGCTCAAATGTAACACCACACTTTGATGCAAAACCCTGCCACGAGGTCCCAGTTTTCCCAGTACATCCACTCCCACTGTTGGAAGCTGTTGAAGCACATCTGGAAACACTGTTTTCCTCGGGAGAACATTTAGAGCTGCACTTGACCCTACGCCTCTGTGGAGGCCTTTTGATTTTAGATGCACTTCCAACGTGCTCAAATGCTCTCCCTGTAGAACGTGGGGCCCTCCCTCCTGTAGGCAGATCCCACTTGTCACACAAAGTCTCTTGAAGACAGGCTGTACCCACAACGTGTCACTTCTGAGAGGCAGAGACAGCCCAGACAAAAAGAAGGCACAGATGCTCAGCTAACAATTGGGTCTACTGCATTGTCTCCCACCCAGGCACAGATGGCTGGGCTGTGGGAAAGACTAGACAAACATCCCAGCTTGGGCACAGCTCTGGGGATCATAAAATGACAACGAAAAGCAAACGACTGTGAAAACAGTTTTCTGCTAAAAGCAGGGGAAAAGTCATGGCTTAATGTTGTGAGCTCCAAGGGTGCTGATGAGCAGCTCTGTGGAAGAACAGCAAAGCAAGATCATGCCTGTTTGGGTAGCTCCTGATAATTCAAATTATTTAGGCAATGCTGAGTATACTCATGCTAGAGCCAGCAGCCAGAATCTTTCCTTGCCACGCCTCTGAAAACATTTGGCCCCAAATCCTGCACGTTCATAGTGGTGTTCAGTCAGGTCTACCTAAGGAACATGCTTATGGCCTTTCTGGAAGTGCACTGAGGCTGATAACCTGGCCACGACATAATGGAGTGCTGGACCAGGTCCAGAATAACCTTTCCTATGAAGAATGTGGAGATGTGCAGCAGTGAGCCAGCGATGGAGAGACACGACTTGGTGCCTCCAGCTGGCAAAGGCTGAAATGGCACCTGAAACAATAAAATGAACAAGTACAAAGGTGCAAGGCTTGGGTCCAGTAACGGCTGCCAAGGGGCTAAGGAGAGGTTGTGATGGTGAACAGGCTGGAGCTGACACACTCAGAGGGAGAAGGTACAACAGGGCCAGATGTAACAACCACAGAAATCCCTGGGAGTTCTTCCATTAACTTTTCTCCTGTGGGCTGAAAGAAAATCCACCCACCCATCTGCCAGTGATGGCTTCGGTCATGGGCAGCAGGAAGTGCTCTCACCAGACTCAAACCCAAGACTGAAGTCCAAACTACATAACAGACTTGACATACACACTAGAGGAGACCCATTATTTATTTCTTTGCATCTGAATTTTGTTCCATTCCGAGCTTAGCTGTTGCAGTGGTCTGGCATGTTTATAGCTAGCTCCCCATCCCTCATCTGCTCCACAGAAGGAATAAACTGCTCTTGCACAGGGACAATTTCACATGCCAAAAACTGTGGGTGTGAGGCTGCAAAACAGCACAGAGGCTGCGTGCTAGGGGATAGACACAGATCTAAGATTTTAGGAGCTGCACCAGCTAACAAGAGGACAATAGTAGGGCTAGAGTTGAGAATGCCACCTGTCTGAGTCACTGCCTTCCCCCACCAAGCCAGGACAGAGTGTCTATGGTCAGAAGTGCTAAAAGACTGACTCAGCTGGCACTGGAACCAAAGCACACCTGCAGTGACAGACAGTGTCCATGTCAGTGTTCAGCTGCACGCTGGTTCCTGCTGCTGGTGGAGGACTCACCCCAGGAGCTGCTGCAAATGCTCATCTCTCAGTCACGGCCAGAAGTGATGGGGGTCCCTGCTGCAGCTTCAAAGCCAGTCAGCACCTAGGGGCTTTTCTCAGCAAGCACGAGCTGAGGGGTAGTTCTGGCAAGCTGCTCTCATCTGGGCCAATCTCCTTCTCTGAGCCCCGTTATCCACATTTAGAATGTACAGACTGGTGCTGAGGAGAAAGGGAATCTCACCTTAGAGGCTGCAGGTGGAGCCAAGCCACACTGAGGTCCTGAACAGCAAGCTGTGCACACAGAGGTCCAGTGTCTGCTCTCCCACCACTCCTCAGCAGGCTGGAAACATGGAGCAATCGGTGCTGAGCCTTGGCTGCCTGGCATGCTCACCTTCAACAGCTCATGTGGATTCAACACGACTACAAGCAGTTTACAAAAGGCTTCTGACAACACAGCTCTCAGGCTGCAGCAGCAGTGGGGGCCATGCAACTCCTCTAAGCACACATCTTCACCTCACCCAGTCTCTCCAGCTCTCCTTCCCAACTTCTATGCCCAGCCCCACATCCCTCTTCTTCCACCCCCCCTCTCCTCCTCAGATCTCAGCCTTACATTCAGAACTCTCCATCTTGTGTCCTCCCCTGAAAGCACTTCCCTACTCCCTACCTTTTTCCCCCTCCATGGAATAAACACCAAAGTTTGGAACACCTCTAACACCTCTAGCATTCCCAGTCATGGACCAGCTCCCCCGCAGCACCTGATGAGCACAGCCCCACCTCAGAGCACACGTGGCTTGGGCAGGGGGCACCGTGCCCCCAGAGCCAGGCAGGCCCCTGGCTGAGCACTGCGGGGGGCAAGAACAAGCTGGGGGTAAGGGGGGGCCTGGCACAGGCTGCACCCTGCCCGTGACCCCCAACTGCAGCCTGCAGCAGCTTCCCTCCTCCCAGCAGATCCCCCACCACGTCGAGAGAGGATCCTGCAAGCCAGCCTGGTATAGGACTCAGATAATCATCTTTTATTTGTGTGGTTTGTTTTTTTTTTTCTTCTCTTTTTCTTTTGTTTTTCTTTAAAAGTGGTATGTTAACATCAGGGTTTGGTTTTTTCTTTTTTTTTTCTACATTTTCAGAGCTCTGTACAGGTCTTAAAAGGAAATAAGCAATGCTTAATGTACAAAGTAAAAACAGAAAACTAGAAAAATCTGAATAAAATGGAGCAAGTTGCTGTCAGGGATACAGTACAAATTAGTAATTAGATGTCATCTGAAGTGCAATACCACTGCAGTAAGGATGAGTTAAGGAATGAAATAAAAATACTCTATTTTAAACAAACAGTATATATATATATTTTTATATGTATAT